GTATGGGCGTGTAGCTTGGTTGAATGTGTCGGCCCAGCCCTGAGCCAGCGCGTGCGAGACGAGCCGACGGAAGACGTCGCCTGTTGCGATCCCGCGCACCCCGCCGCCGGGCTTTTGAAGCGCGGTGAGACGCGCCAGTGCCAGGCCGGGGACGATGGCAGCAGGGATCTGGGCATTGGCGAGTTGGGTGGCCGCGTGAGCCAAAAGTTCGAGCGCGCTGACGTCCAGGAGCAGGAGCCTGAGATGCTCCGCCCGCATGCCGGAGAGGCCCGCAGCGCCGCCCCTCTTGGCGCCGCGCAGAGCCGCAGACACAGCCGCTGGACCAAGTTGGACTTTTTGAGTGGGCGTCTGCATCAATATGCGCGCAGCGCCGCGCGCTGACCATGCACGCTCTGAGGACGGTGCCGCCCGACCTCATCGCGCCGTGTGCGGCGGCACGGTGCCTTGCTGGCGTGTCTAGGCGCGCCCGCAGAGGACGAGTGACACAAATAGCCCTGCTCCCCGTCAACCTGGGAGGCTTGGGCCTTTCACAGGCCCCGCGCGTCAGCACAGCAGCGTGTTGGGGCCGCGGCAAATGCCCTCACTGTGCGCTGCGATCGCTGTGCCGCTTTTGCGCGTGGCCTGACTGATGGGCAATTGCCTGCGTGCCTACAGGCGGCCTCGGAGGCACGCGGCGTGCTCGAGGCGGACGGATGGGCTGCCTTCGTGGGAGCTCGTCGCCCAGCCCAGGGAGCCAGCCCACCCAGGAAGGGACCGCCGAGCCCGGTGAGTGGAGGCATGGGTGGCAGCACTGTGCGTCGCGTAAACGGAACGCTTGCTTCCCCCCCCCGAACTGTTGAGGATGCGGGCGACGCGGGCGGGTTTAGCCAATGCGACGATTCGCTTCCGGCGTAACGCGTGGGTGAGGGCAGGTGGGACGGCGGCTTGCGCAACCTGGCGGCTGCAGAGGCAAAGAGCTCCGCGTTCCGAAATTGACCCCCTTCCCGGCCCGCATTGGTCGAGGACTGCTTCCCAAACGATCGTCCATTTGCCCAGTGCGCTGCACAGGGCCCCCTGCACAGCGACAGACATCGCATGTTTTTTCTCGGGCCCTTTTCCGTCCGCCAAGGTTTGTCCAGTCCACCGGTTTTACGCGCGCGCAGCGGCAGCAGAGAAGGCAGCGCCGGCTCGGCCAGCTCGACAACTTCACTCAGCGTCGGCTGCCCATCGCTTCCCGGCTGCGCGGGTGCGCGCCCAATGTCGCCCAGCAGTGTGGACGCCAGTGCGCGCTGCTGCGCGCAGCTCAGGAAGAAAACCGAACTGAAGTGGATCTGTGCAAGCAAGTGGCTCTTGAACTGTTAGGAAACTTTTATGGCCGAGTAACTGCCGGCGGACCGGCGGGACTTGTTTTTAGAAAGTCGTCATCGGGGCTTGCGACCCGGATCTCGAGTTTTTGCAGTTTGACGAGGGGGGAGTATCTGGACTTTCACGCTCCGAGACAGCAAGCATCGCGAAAACGTTTTGATGCTCCTCCACTCGAAAGTCGCAGCATCGTTCGCACTGCGCATGGCTGCGGGTGCCCAAACTGGGTTAAGGGGGATACCAAAGTTGCGTCGCAACGCAGCGCGCCGCCGTTTGTCGTGTTGCCATACACGACCATGTCCAAGCGTCGGCGGTCTGATGCACTCGGCGCGTCACGCCGGATTTGTGCCTTCAACTGTTGGACACGTTTCCGAAGAGCATGTTTCCGTGTAGCCGAATCAGACCGCTTCTTCGAACGGACGCACCAGTTTGGCTCACGCTTGCGGGCACGCCTTTTAGCAGCAGGAGTGCCTTTGGCCTTGCCCTTGCAGGGTTCCTCTGGTCCTTTTCTTTTGCAAACCTTGGCTTTGAAGGTTGGGGGAGGTGCACCGGGCAGCAGCAAGACAGGCCATGAAGGCCCCCACGCAAATCCGCCAGTCGCACGGCGCCCACTCTCCGAGGCCCGCCCCTGACGACCTCCGAGCCCCGCAGCATGTGGACTCTTGGACTCGGAAACCCCAGGCTTGCTGGCCACTTAGCCTCCTCTCGGCCTGACGCCCTCGACACGCGCCCCAAATCTGGACACCCCAAGTCACAACGAGTTGGGCGAATGCTTCAAGCCGCAGATCAAGCTTCTTCCCCGATGAAAGACTTGTAAAAAGAGAGGAACGCAGGCAGTTTAGGACTTCGTAAAGAGCAACGTGGACAGGCCAGCGAGATGGGTCCTGCACGCATTGAAACCCCAACTTCCCCGAGCCTCCATGGCAGGGCCAGCATCTGCATGTTCGTTAGGCTACGCGGCTACAAGAGGCCGCGGAGTCGCGAAGGAGACCTCAGAAAACGGTGCCAGGAACCCCCAACCGACGGTGTGCCACATCGCTTCGCTCGCGAATGGCCAAGGGCAGAGGACCTTAATCAAGAATCAAGCTTGCAGAATAAATCCGCATGTGCTAAGTGCACGAGGTGGAGATAGGCGCTGCGGGCGTCGCACGTCGTGCATCAGTCATTGCAATGTTCGCTGGTTCCGGGGTGCCGCGACTGCAGCGGAGAATGTCCTGCACCTGACATGCGCGCACGCTCGTGCTGGCAGCTCACCGGCCGACGGTACGACGGTACGTTTGCGTGTGTCAGCATGGTCGTTGCGTCCATTTGGCACTGCTGACTTTCAAGCTAGGGGCGCATCACGCAGCCTAACAGAGTGTTCGCACTTGTCTTGGTTGTAAGATACTGCTACTGTGAATGCTCTTGCCAGCTACATGCGCCGCTCCGAAACAGCCACCTTTGTCTTCAACGCCGCCGACACGGGCATTGCGCAGGACTACCGCCGTCACTTCGTCCAAGGTGTCGCGAGGTGCTCGCGGACCACATGTTGGCTACGCTCGCGAATTCGCAATTTCCAGTTCCAGAGGCATGAGGTCTACGGTACCAAGGTCCTGGTTGCTGCGTGTCCGAAGACGCTGTCCTTCGTTTATCCGACTTCGCAAACTTTTGCAGCTAATGTTTTGCTGGCTGGGGAAAGTTGACGAACAGCCTGTTCCGAAAGCCTGAGCCTCTCTGAAACGCCTTCGAACCCTGCCGACCCGCGCGCCGTCCTAGCACCCCAGCCCCCGTCCGGAGTGGCGGCGCTGCAGGACGAAAGCGGATGGAGAGCCATGTGTCTGCAAGCCTTTTTTGAAGGACTCTTGCGAAAAGCGCGCACTTGCTCCGAGCAGCCGAAAATCAAGCCGGCTGGGGGCACCAGCAAAGCTCTGCAAATGAGTACTCATAAATCCCCAAGGCCCGGCGGCCCCGTCCCTTGTTGCCTTTTTCGCCTTCTGCCGCGCTTGTTCAGAAAGAGTACCAAAAGAGTACATCGAACTAGCTAATCTCGAAGACTGCCCTTTACAAAAAGGAATCTCCTCCCCCCGCATCGTTGACTGAGCCTGGTCCTTGCTGCGTGCCCTGCATGACCAACATCAGCAATCCCAAGATCTCATGGTCTTTCAGAATTGCAGCACAGTGTTTTGGAAGTTCTTGGCATGTGCACCCGAAATTGCAGAGCTGTCATTTCTCACTGCGCCGGTTTTGCAATCTCGACCACATCTACGGGCACTGCCTTGGGCAGCCTTCTTGGGCAAGCGCCCCCGGAAAAAATCCGGGGGCCTGAGACTTGACGCGGAGCCTTTTCATCTCGCCAACCCTCAGGCTCTTCTTTCCTTCCGCTGCGCATAGTCTCTCTCTCTCTCTCTCTCTGTCTCTCAATGTCTCAACAAATCATGATCGGACTGTCTACTAGGGTTTAGAGTTGGGATTTCACGGTTTTACCAAGTCGACAGGGCTACAGGGTACTTGCTCTTACAAAGGCTTACCAAGGGCGTCGGAGACCGTGAGGGCTTGAGACGCAGCAGACGTTCGTCTGATGCCGACGGCTTTGCGAGCCCTGCAGCTACTGCAGCTCGGATTCCACATTCTGTGCTAGGCTATGAAACTCTAAGGAGGCATTGCGATGGCGCATTCCAAGGTCTCAAGCTGACGCGAGAGCGATGAGTGCTGCGGGGTTCACTGAAGTAGTGTACACGGGAAATCCACACACCCCGGAGCCTCCCATACTGGGTCCAGGAAGCTGCGGGGGGGGCGAAGGCTTTGGGCCTCGGGAAGAAACGGCTCTCGCGTTCAAGAGCCGCCAACCAGCACCGGTCGCCAGCAGAAACATAGCCAGGCGAGGGCTTTGGGTGCCGTCCGTTCGCTAGCAGACCTCCCAAGACACGGGCGTCACGCGAAGCCGACCTGAACTGCCCAAACTTCACCCCTGGTGATGCCTAATCGCGCCAATTCCAAACTAAGCCCAAGCCTGAAACGCTACATGTACTGAAGCCCCAAAACCCTGAACCCTGAAATTAAACCCTCAGCCTTTCGGTGGGATCAGGGGTTTTGGGGGCTTCTGGGTTTTTGGGGCGTAAAAAGTCTCAACAATACCCTCTGGTAGCTTTCAAGTCCTTCTAGGCCTCAGCCTTCAACATCCTTCAGCCCAACAAAGTCCCCACCTCTGTGCTCTAAACCCTAAACCCTAAACCCTAAACCCTAAACCCTAAACCCTAAACCCTAAACCCTAAACCCCAGTGTTATAGGGCCTCGAAGAGGATGCTCTTTATTGCCCTAGTCCAGGGACAGATCGTGTCTTGCAAAGGCCAAATCGGGAGCTTCCCAAAAATAGGAAGTACCCCCAAAATCCTGCCAGGACTGCATATAAGGGGATTAGGGTTTAGGGTTTAGGGTTTAGGGTTTAGGGTTTAGGGTTTAGGGTTTAGGGTCTATTTTGGGAAATGCCCGAAGGGGGCCAGAAGTGCGTCTTGCACCACTTGAATTGCATGCATTTCCCTTGGGGTCATGGGTCTAGGTCCCGGAAGCGCATCGATGCGCGATCACAGAGCCTAGCGCTGAGGGTAACCCTAAACCCTAAACCCTAAACCCTAAACCCTAAACCCTATAGGTCGTATGGAACCTAAACCCCGTAACCCCGGTCACTGGCCGGGGCTCAGATAGCAGGCGCGGCGCACCTGAGGCAGCAAAAGACTTTCCCGGACGCTCTCTACTTGCGTTGCGGAACCGGCAACTCGAAAGCTGTCCAGGAACCCCAAACCCTAAACCCCTAAACCCCTAAACCCCTAAACCCCTAAACCTAAACCCCTAAACCCCTAAACCCCTAAACCCCTAAACCCCTAAACCCCTAAACCCCTAAACCCCTAAACCCCTAAACCCCTAAACCCCTAAACCCCTAAACCCCTAAACCCCTAAACCCCTAACTCCCTAAGCCCCTAAACCCCTAAACCCTACCACAAACCCAAGAGGGCCTTGAAGATCTCCTCGTTTCGGCACAAGAGCGCCTGGCGAGTAACACCCAGCCAAAACCCCGAAATCTCAAGGGTAGTTCCATGGTCCCCTAGTATGGGCCCTTAGAAGGGTGCCCCTTACAGAGGCCCCTTGAATGCCCCTTTTGTACCCTATGCAGATGAAGGGCCCATACATCAAAACCCTTTAAGAGACGACCCTCCGAATTCAAAAGCAGGTGGAGCTCGGGACCAGAGGTTGGGGTTTCGAGAGATCGGAGCCTCCCACACAAGAGCAAGATGAGCCATGGAGGGGTTTCGGGAGTTCAGGGTTCAGGGTCGGAAGTGCTTGACAAACAGCTCAAGGCGCGTCTTCCTTTGTACCTCTACAAGGACCTTTAGATCAACGCCCCCACACCCTTTCTCTGAACACCTGGCGCTTCCCTGTGCTTTCGGTGAAAGCAAGTGGGTGGCTTCCCCCTAATTTGGGGCCTCCTAGAATCAGGATGATAATATGGCTTGGGGATGTATCTGAGCGACCCCTTCTTTTGGATCCCGAAGCCTCTGACTAGTTCAGCGCAGAGTCCCGCCGGCCTGCAACCGCGCGACGGCCGAGGCCGGCCGGGGCGCGACGGACGCAGTGGTGGAAGAGCCTGGCACTCAGGAGCAGGAGCTTGGGGTTTAGGGCTCCTAGGGTTGAGGGTTTGGGGTTTAAGTTTCTGGTTTTGGGCTTCAGGCTCGGATGCGACAGGACGAGAAGACCAAAATCCCAACAATCGTGAACTCCAAACCTACAACGCCGTCCAGTCTTTGCCAACGAACGAGTACTGCGGCGTGACCCCAGAAGACGTCAAATCCTGGTATCAAGGCTCGCCAGCGTTTATGCCGATGCCCTCTCTTATTGCCCACACTCCCTACGCGCCCTTTCACCGAAACAGTATGCCGACTTTTCGAGGTCCACGGCGCATCCAAGCGGTGAGGCCAAACTTAGGTGCCTTGCAGCTCAACTCGGTGACTAGCGTTTGCAGGGGCCGTACCCACAACGGGCACACTGGTCCTTGCAGCAGCAGTAGCTGTAGTCCCTCTTGTTGCAGCAGTCGCTGTCTGAGCTGCACTGGTGGTTGCCATGCCCCCCCTCGATCCATGCACCGCCGCTGCATCTCCAGGGGTTCGCATCGCTCTGATCATGGCCGTGGTCCTCCACTGCCTTGCCCGACGCCTGGCGACCCACGGTCTTTTTCTTGCACCCGAAAGTTCTTACTAAGGAAAAACTGCTCTCCTTGGGATGGGGGGTCTGCTAGCTGTTAGCCACGTTCTGAAGCCGGGAGGCATCTTCCTCGCGCTCCTCGGCGACGAGGTTCAACAGCTCCTTCTGGCTGTCGCGGGCACCCTCGCAGCAAAGCAGCAGCGCCAGGATCAGGGCGCAGCGGCGCATGGCGGAGGACGAAGCAAAGGGAGATGAAAATCGGAAACTACGAGCAACTCGGAAGCTGAAATGGGCTTCGGAAAGCGATTCGATTCCTAGCAGAGGCGGGCGAGACAGTTCATGCACATCCCCGTACTAAAGAAAAAAAGGCTGACATGGAGTGCGTCCACCTCGCATGCAATCCTTCTAGAAACCTCCCCTAAACCCTGGAGGTTCAAGTTTGTTAGGCTTGCTAGCGGTCTAGCCATGCATGTTTTCAAACCCCTGAGTGTTTTCAATCGCAGGTCATTTCGACCAGACCGATGTGCCCACGAAATCCCAAACAACCCCGAAAGCCCCCAAAAAAATGCCCTGAAGCACTAAGCCCTGAATCCCGGTGTACCACGAAGCCCGCAAGCCCCCAAGACCCTAATGCCCTGAAGCACTCAAGCCCTAAGACCCCAACTCTTTATCTAGGATAGCCCCTGAAAACCCCTGAAAAAGAGTCCTAAACGTAAACCTCTTCAACCCAATAAGGAAAAACAGAAAATATGCCAAGGTAGCTAATAACCCTAAACCCTAAACCCTAGACCCTAAACCCTAAACCCTAAACCCCTGAAGCCCCCAAGGTCCTTCGCCCCAGTCTTCCGAGGGCGGCGAGACCGGCTTGCGGCCACCGGCGGGGGCAGATTGGCAGCGGGCAGGCTTCCTGTGGGCGAGGGTTTAGGGTTTAGAGTTTTGGGTTTCGGGTTTAGGGTTTAGGGTTTGGGGAAAAGGGGGAAGGTTTTAAGGTTCAGGGTTTAGGGTTTATAGAGTTTAGGGTTGAAACCCCGAACCCTACACCCCAGACCCCTACTCTGCCTCGGGGCGGCAGGCTGCGCGGCACCGCTGGCCGACTGGAGCCTGCAGGCTTTTCAAGCATCCCGGGCCGAAAAGGCCCTAAATCCGAAACCCTAAACCCTAAACCCGAAACCCTAGACCCTAGACCCTAGACCCTAAACCCTAAACCCTTGGGTTTTGTGGGATTAGGTTTTGTGGGATTAGGGTGAGGGGCGGAGGACGACCCCTTTCATGGCAGCCGCCCTTTCCAAGCCCCCTTTCCACGGCTTCCCTGCTCACCCAGAACCCGAAGCCATGTGCATACTGCGTCTTGCCCCATGAGGGTTTAGGGTTTAGGGTTTAGGGTTTGGGGTTTGGGGTTTAGGGTTTAGGGTTTAGCGTTTAGGGTTTAGGGTTTAGGGTTTAGGGTTTTTCGCTGCAAGCACATGTCTAACAAAAGGACATGCTGGCGTCCACTGACGTTTGGCTTGGCAGGGGGGCCTCGGGCCGTTTGGTCGATGTTCAGGAACTTGAAAGTTAAGTCAACATAACGCGGAAACCCATTTTTTCGCACAGCCAGATGATTCGAAGGCTTTGCAGAAGAGTCCAGGGCTCCAGCACGAAGTATGGAGGTCTGCGGGGTGGTAATTGTCCTCCCAAAATCCCCCACCACCTATATTGTTGACCTTGGCCCAGAAGAGGAACCCAAAAGAGGAACCCAATACGAGGCACCCAAAAGAGGCACCCAGAAGAGGAACCCTAAACCCTAAACCCTAAACCCTAAACCCTAAACCCTAAACCCTAAACCCTAAACCCTAAACCCTAACCCTAACCCTAAACCCTAAACCTCAAAGACCCGAGGCTGCCAGCCTGGCCGTGGCCGTGGATGGGCGCTGGGCGCTCGGCGTCTCGGGTCTGGCATGAGCAGCTGGGTGGGGTCTTGGGGGTTGAGGTTTGGGGTTTAGGGTTTGAGGTTTTGGGTTATGATGGGTTTCGGGCTGTGATGGGTTTGGGGCTTTGGTGAATTCGGTGGCTTGGACCAAACCGGTCGCGCGCTGTTAGAGGGGGGGGTTTCAGTGGCTCGGGGTTGGAGGGTTTGGGGATTCCGCGGGCAATGATGTAATAGCTCACCCAAGCCGAAGGGATCCTTAATCTTCTTCCCCTACATAACCCCTCTGTATATACCTTATATCGTCTTTTTCAGTGCATTGACTTTGCACAGGGCAGTAAAGAGTGGCCACGATCAAGTGCAGCATGTTTCTGGGCTGCACGACCCAACCCGTTTCACCCGAATTTAGTTTGTGAGTCCGCACAGAAACAGAACAGAAGAAACCTAAATTTTACCTAAATCGCCCCCCTAAATCTTTGGGGGAAAAGGGGGGGGGGAAGGGGCCGGCTCTACTCTCGCATCCTTGCCTGCTACAACTCTACCACAGTACTCAAAGAAGGGCACCCGGATGAACCCCCGAGGCCACCCTAAACCCTAAACCTTAAACCCTAAACCCTAAACCCTAAACCCTAAACCCGAAACCCTAAACCCTAACCCTAAACCCTAAACCCTAAACCCTAAACCCTAAACCCTAAACCCTAAACCCTGACTCAACCAACAAGGCCTCTGCGCTCCGGGGTCGGTGAACTCAGATCGGTAGGCTGTTGAGGGCCTCAGTTCAGAGGGGACTCGTCAAACCCCTCGGAACGTGCGGCTTGAAGGGCTTTTAAGGTGGTGGCTAGTAGGATCTAGGGTTCGGGGTTAAGGCTTCAGGGTTTGGGGCTTCAGGTTTCCATACAGTTTCGGGCGTTCGTTCCTCGTCCCCCCGGCCCTGCCCAACTACCCTGAAGCCCGCTGCACGAACGTCCTCCCTGATACTCGCACATAACCTGTCGAACCCTTCTCCACTGCAGGCAACCTGTGCTAACCTAAACCTGGTTTAACCTATCAACCTACCTGCCTGCCTGCTCTAGTCTGGCAAGCACAACTCACGCAAACCTAGCCCCATGATCTACACATGAAATATTACATTCCTATACCCTCTGGTGACCTGCTACATCCTGCCATGACGGCCGCCCTAGCCCATGCTAAATGTCTGTCCCGACCGGCCGCACCGAGGGTTTAGGATTAAGCCCTACAAAGCCCTATAAGCCCTACCCTATAAGCCCTTTAAGCCCTTTAAGCCCTTTAAGCCCTTTAAGCCCGATAAGCTATAAGCCCTGTAAGACCCCCTAAACGCCCTGTAAGCCCTGAAGCCCCACAGGTCCTATGAACCTTAGACGGCACACCCCCTAGCCGAGCCGTGCACGGATGGTTTCGGCCCGGAAGGAAGAGATTCGGCCTCCGCATGCTGTCTGGGCTGCCGCTGGCTCACAAGAAACACTCGCAGGCTATAGGGTGCCTCGCCCACCCGAAACCCTTCACTGGGCAGGCCCTTCCCCCGGAATGTTCGAACCTCCCCCCAGAATAGCCTGGAAAATATTGTAAGGGCACCATCGATACTCCCTAAACCCTAAACCCTAAACCCTAAACCCTAAACCCTTAACCCTTAACCCTAAACCCTAAACCCTAAACCCCTTAAACGTTGTGATGGCGGTCCTGGGCGGCTTGGCCGGCTCGCTCTTGAACCTGGGTAGCTGCACTTGGGACTAGGAGGAGGAGAGGAGGGCTCCTAGGGTTGAGGAATATATGTTTTTGGGCTTAGGGGCTTGGGTTTAGGGTTTAGGGTCTAGGGTGTAGGGTTTAGGGCTTAGGGTTTAGGGTTTAGCGTTTGCTGCATCGTAACCTTGGCGCTTGGGGCTTAGGGCTCGGGCTTTCAACCCTAAACCCTAAACCCAATCGCACCCTAAAAACTTCAACAACACCTAAACAAACAACACAAACAACACAAACACACACACACACACTATATATATATATATAACAATAAATACATAATTCTCAAATTATGTATAATAATAAATAATCATCATCATCATCATCATCATCATCATCATCATCATCATCATCATCATCATCATCATCATCATCATCATCATAATTCACAATCATAACTCTCCAATTCTCCACGTCTCCAAGAGCTGAGCATCCTGTGAGCGTTGCAGGTTTCGGGCTTGCGCTGAGGGTTCCCTAAACCCCGAACCCTAAACCTGGGGCTGAGTTGTTTGGGTTCAGTGCGAGACGACCTAGGCTTTCGTTGCAAAGACCTCTGCAGAAAATTCACGTCGCGCTGCCCTCAACCCTAAACCCCAAACCGTTTAGGGTCTAGGGTTTAGGGTGTAGGGTTTAGGGTTTAGGGTTTAGGGTTTAGGGTTCAGGGTTTAGGGTTTAGGGTTTAGGGTTTAGGGTTTAGGGTTTAGGGTTTACGGTTTAGGGTTTAGGGTTTACCTAAACCCTAAAACCCTGAAGCTTGCCGCTTAAGCAGGAGGGGCTGAGGCTCGCGCGCCCGATACGGGGGCCCAAAAGCCTGATGGGTGACAGACCTGCGGATTTGCAACAGATCAGCGCATCTCAGGATTGACAGCCCCAAGATACTGCAGAGGGTTGAGGGTTTAGGGTTTATTGTTTAGGTTTAGGGTTTAGGTTGAGATGTTCCCCCTTATACAGTTATACTAACAGTCCTTAATAAGGATTGTAGTCGGGGGTACTATAATCCCTATGAAGGACTGTTAGCGTAAGGGGGGAGCATTCCGAGTCCAGGGCTTGGAGTTCAGGGTTTCGGCTTTAGGCCATGGGGCCTTTTTGAGAATGTGTATGTTAGGTAGCGCATCCTAAATCACGTGGTGTCCGAATTGTGGTAGCTGTGTTAAGTTCCTCAACAAGGGACCTCCATGGAGGGCTTAGGGCTTGGGGCTTGGGCTTTCTCGCTGGTTAAGGAGCTTCACCCCTGAACTCAAAAAAGGAATCCTCATGAATGCAGGGTTTTGGGGGTCCAGAGTTTCAGGGTTGTAGGGCTATGGGGTTTTGGGGTTCGAAGATAGGTGATTAGGGCTGGCCGCCTCTTCATCAGGAGATCACCTGAGGGCAGCGTGCTGCTGCGCCCGACCTGCGCACAAGGTTGCCCAGTAGCCGAACGAAGGAACCAACCAAAAGCTAAACCCTAAACCCTAAACCCTAAACCCTAAACCCTAAATCCAAAAAAGGAATGGACCTTTGGCTTGGCGCTCTTCTGCCGCGCCCGGGCGGCCTGCCAGGAAAGTCCGACCACCGGGTTTGGGGTTTAGGGTTTAGGGTTTGGGGTTTAGGGTTTAGGGTTTACCCTATGCCCTAAACCCTACACCCCAACCCTAAACCCTAAACCCTAAACTCCAAACCCTAAACCCCACGTGCGTCTCCCAGTTGGACCACGCCTCCTTGCGCGAGTAGCGCCTCCATGCCTCCTTCGTGGGTGGGTGGTTTTGGCTTCGTGGGCGTTTAGGCGGCTGAAGGCTTTGAGGTTTAGGGGTAGGGGTTTACGGGCTGAGGCGGTTTAGGTTCCAGGTTTCAGGTTTCAGGTTTCAGGTTTCAGGTTTCAGGTGTCAGGTTTCAGGTTTTAGGTTTTAGGTTTTAGGTTTTAGGTTTGAGGTTTTAGGTTCTAGGGTTTAGGTTTAAGGGTTTAGGGTTTAGGGTTTAGGGTTAGGGTTTTAGGGCTTAGGGTTCAGGGCTTAGGGCTTAGGGCTTGAGGGTTTAGGGTTTAGGGCTTAAGGTTTAGGGCTTAGGGCTTACTCCGATCGTGGCCCTGGCACTCCTTGCTGGCGGTCTGGTCGTCGAACTTCGCTGCCGACCCACCTGATTCTTGGGACGACGGGCACTGGGCTGAGGTTTGGGGTTTGGGGTTTGGGGTTTGGGGTTTGGGGTTTGGGGTTTGGGGTTTTAGGGTTTAGGGTTTAGGGTTTAGGGTTTAAGAGTTCAGGGTTTAGGGTTTGGGGTTTAGGGTTTAGGGTTCATTGGGGTCTCAGGGTGTAATTTCCCACTGAAGCCCCAAATGCCGTGATCGACATCCGGGGCCGCTGCTGGCATGCTGAGGGTTGCTGCGCAGCTTGTTCTCCTGCACTAGGGGATAGGATTAGGGTTTAGGGTTTAGGGTTTAGGGTTTAGGGTTTAGGGTTTTGGGTTTTGGGTTTTGGGTTTTGGGTTTAGAATTATAATCAGGATTTAGGGCTTAGGGTTTAGGGCTTGATAGGATTAGGGGGACCCTTGGGGATATAGACCCTTTGAATAAGGTCCTTTTTAAGAGAGCCAAGAAGAGGATTAAGAAGGGCCTATCCTACCCAGGATGCACAGCGGAGAGAACGCCCAGCTGTTAGAGAGGGAAGACCGCCCAATCCGGCACAACGGAAGACTTTGCCTCCACGAAAGATTGCAATGGGTTTTCGTGCCTGATTTTCCTCCTAGCAATTGATTATGGCTATTCGCCAACCCATGCGGATGCGCTTCAGGGGAATGTGTTGATCATGCTTGTAACATTGTATGTGCAAGATCTGGCAGTCGGCAGTCTGCACCCTTATATAATTGGTCATCGGCTCGCTTGTTTATGGGGGGACCTACCAGGCGCACGGTGCCTCTACTATGGTCGGTTCACTACCGGAGGTCTACATGGAGCCCCGACATGAATTCGAGGATTCGCGCGATGTCCTTGCTGTCCCTAGCACAGCACGGTGACCTTCGGGGAGTTTCTCAGGAGCTTGTTTTGCTGAAAGTCTGTTCCTCGAAATGCATACCAAGTGCACTGCAAAAAGTTTTGTCTGCATTCCAGTTAAACATGCCCCTGAAGGCTGCAGGTGGAATGTCACTGAGCGTCGAGACCCAGTGCATTCGTTGCTGCAGCCGTGTACAGAGGGAGCGCCAGGTCTGAGGGGAAACCTGAGGGGTCCCATGTCATAGATGTGCTGTGGAGAAGGGCAGAACACCCCTCCCGGGGTGCAGACTCAGGGTCGCGCCAATCACGCAGCGTAAAACTTCGCGAGACCACATGCCCCGATAACCCGGGGGTGTAAGTGCTATCCAAGGGGCCCCAACTTAGCACAACCCGTATGCTTTTCAGGTCTTGAGCTCTCCTTGGCAAGGGCTCTGGTCACCGGCGCATCATCCAGGGGCAGGGCCTTCACGCATGGCGGAGCTGCCCTTGCCACGACACATGGTCTGTGGATCCCTTTCTGGGGCACCTAAACATCTACCAGGCCCTTCAACTTGAGGGTGCCATTTAAATGTTATAAACATCAACCGACATGGCGAGTTGGGAAAGAGAAGGCCTGCTGTTGGTTTAGGGCTCTTCAGGAATCACCCTAAGATCCCTAAGAACCAACCCTCAGAAGCCGACAGGCCGATCGCGGCGCAGCATCCGAGGAAGCTTGCTAGCCCGGCAACCATACCCTTCTTAAGGGCTTCGGTCCACTTTTACACGGGATCCTAGAAAAAGGGCACAATTGGGCTACCAAGTCCTCAAACCCGAAACCCTACACCTTTCCACTGCACCAAGGAAGCGGCGATGTAGTCCGTGTAGTAGCCCACCGACGATCGGTCGAGGAGCGGAGCCCTGGCCGGGTCTCCGAATCACTGCGATTCCGATTCTGGGGGGCGCTGCACCCTAAACCCTAAACCCTAAACCCTAGACCCTAAACTGAAGAGGCAGGGCCTCGAGTGGCAGTAAGTAGGCTCTCCCCACAAAAATTGGAGCCTACCAGGTCTTGAGGTTCAGCTCCTGAGGCTGGCTTCGGACTTGCAGCGACCCTGAGAGGCCTCTTCTTCTGGTACTTCAAGTACTTGCCACTCCGCTGCCCGATTCCGTGCCTGGGAAAATCTCCGACAAATTGCTTGCTGGGGGGGCTGATGGCTTCGGTGGTTGGCAATAGCAAGTTGCAAAAAGTTGAAAGCGTAAGCTCTTTAAGAGCACCAGCAGTAGTGGTGGTGGTAGTGGTGCGAGTCGTGGGAGTGGTAGCAGTGGCAGTAGTTGTAGTGGTGGCAACGGCAGTGGTAGCGGCAGTGGTAGTGGTAGTGGATAGTGGTAGTGGTTAGTGGATGCGGTTGTGGTCGTGCTAGTGCCAATACTAGTAGTAGTCGTCGTCCAAGTACTGGTACTAGTACAAGGACGGATCGTATCCGTTTGCCTCGCATCGCATGTGGTCACATGCTGCAAAGCATGGCGGGCCGACGCAAAGATGTGTTGGTATGCTTTCAATGTGCGTCGCCGTCGTGTGGAGTTGTACCAACAAACCACCAAAACTCGACATTTTGGCGCTGCCAACGTCTGTGGCTTTGTGTTTCGAATTTCTATGCAGAGTAGATTCTGGATGTGCATGACCTAGAAACACGAGAAACTCGAGATTTATGTCCAGAATTCTCTTTTCGTATCTGCAGAAGCATGGGCATGACCGCCACCTTAGGGGCATGGATCCAGTGGGAAACGTATGTGCTGGAAGCATGGACGTTACCACCTTCGGCCATGGATGCCGGGGGGGGGGGGGGGGGGGGGGGGGCAATGTATGTGCCTGTACCATGGGCGTTGTCACCCTTGAGCGTGGATGCAGTGGGCATTGCATGTGCTGGTCCCACAAATGCGCAGGGCGAACGGACGCGATCTACCCTAGTACTAGTGCCAGACTTGCAGCAGCGGTAATCGTAGTACAAGTACTAGTACTAGTACTTGGACTAGTAGCAGCAATAGTAGCAGTAACGTAGCAGTAGCAGTAGCTATAGCAGTAGCAGCAACAGTACTTGCGAAACGTCCACCATTTGGGACTTGAAAGTTTTGGCAAAATGAGAACAGCTTCGAACAACTATCAGACCTAGGCCAGACTTGAGGAAGCACGAACGCCAGACCAGGGATGTGGCACATCAATGAAGTTCTCGACGGTTGCCGCTGCCTCAGTCTGCTGCAGCAAGAAGGGCAACGTGAGTCACAGAGGTGGAAAAGTACCTGAATGCGCCTGGATCTTCGGAGAGTACATGACCCGCCTTCTGCTCGTATGGGCTCTACTCTGCCAGACCCGTTCGACTGAGGCTCCGCAAGGCCACTTAATGGGGCAAAGAATTGCCCAGGACCTCATCATCTGAGAAACAAAGTGAGACTTGAATACCAGAAGTCATAGCAAAAAAGACAAGGAGGGCAGCAAACCCCACACCATCGTGGAAACCAACACACACACACAAACACACAAAGCCGAGTGAGAAAGAGCCAGCTTTCTGAACTTCCGACGAAGTATCTCTTTCCTTCTGGGATCAGTGACCGATGAGGCCCATGACGTCCATCTTTGGGCTAGTCGCGGTTCTGTCTCGCACTTTTCCGAGGCGCATCTGAAAACAAGCAGACGAAGCCCCTAAACCCTGCGGATTAAGGTTCAGGGTTTAGGGTTGTCACTTCAGGGTGCGATAAGGTGGGAGGGTCACGTCTTCTGAAGACTGCGGGGCTGTGGCTGAAAAGGTTGGCCGCGACATGTTCAAGGGACACTGGTGAACCCTGAGCCCCCTAACACCTCACCCTCCAAAAGAAAATACAAAAAAGAATCCTGCCTTGCTTGGGCCCCGTGGCATACCCTACATCTCCCCAAAAGAAACATCCCAAGATCCTAACCCTAACCCCTAAAACCTAAACCCCTAAACCCTAAACCCCAAACCCCAAAACCCTAAACCCCGAACCCAAAACAACACACATCCTAGCCCTGAGACCCCGGGCCACATCACCCGGGTCTGCCGGACCGTAGGCTCTCGCGGTGGTGGTGCTGTAGTAAAGCGTCCGGACCTCCGGCTTTCTTGAGGGTTTGGGGTTTGGGTTTAGGGTTCATGGTTTAGGGTTCAGGGTTCAGCAGGGTTTAGGTTTTAGGGTTTAGGGTTTGGGGTCACTAACTTGACACCCTGACGAGGTCAGGCGCCTGGGGTTTAGGGCTTTTGCGCTTGAGGGTTTCTTGGGGTGGTTTTGGGGGGTTTAGGGGAGGTCTAAGGTCCAAGGTTTGGAGGTTCGGTCTGGTCTCGGAAGAAAGGAGGTTCCGAACCCTTGCCTCAGGACTCCTGAACGCATCTATGGGACCTCATGCGGGCAGCTTCTCCCCGTTTGGGGTACCCGAAAAACAAGGCTCCGTATTTACAATGGGAACGTACAAGGGGACCCACACCTGTGAGAGGAAACGCCCCCGTGCACGAAGGAGGGCCCAGAAAGTGCGGCATCGTCGGAAGCGGCCTATGAGAGCAGCGTTCCCCGCTTAAACCATCGCGCAAGCTGCCCATAGGGGGTCCGAGCCGTGGGCGATGCCCGGCCACAACTTCTTCCTTGGCATTTGCCTGTGGAGGAGTCGGGACAAGAGCCTCCTGGCCAGACGACTCCGCAGGGAAAGGTCAAGGAAGTAGTTGGGGGCCGAGCTCGACCCGAAGTCAGGCCTGCATGGCTTTGTGGCATGCACCGA